GGGGGAGGGGAGGGGAGGGGTTAATAGATCGGCAGCCTACAAAAGGCCTGGGACCCACAGGAGGGTGGCTCCGGTTTGTCTTAATAACAGTCAAACAAAGAGATCTCGGGGCATCATCAAGCAAACTGTTTGCTGGAGACAGGATCATCCCAGTCTCACCTTTTTCGGGGGAAGAAAAGAAAAAAAGGTGCTAAAACTCTTACGCTTGCTCCCAAAACATTCCTCCCCCATCCCCAGGTACCTCCCCTCTAGTTAATGGGATGTAGAGGGTCTAAATGTTCTCCCGAGACCCACAGCTGGCCAGTTCCCTGGAGAAAACTTCAGATTTTAACTACTTTTTTCTCCCCACCCCCATTTAGCTCTTAAGGGTGATCATTCCTATTTGAGCTGCACCTGTACAATTAGCTCAAATTAAGTAAAGCTTCTTAGGCATTGGACAGAAAAGGTACCGGAGAGGACGAGATACAAGCCAAGTGAACCTTACAGCTAAGTCCCAAAGTTACGTGCAGATGTTGTTGAGGGAGGAAAACCTCACTCCTTCCATCTGCTCAAGTTCACTAACTTGTAGTTTTCCCATTATCCTAGGAAGATGCTGCTTTTCCTTATCCCTGATGCTCAATCCAGGTTCAATAAATTGTCATTAACACCTGGTTTACTTTTTCAGCCCATACCTCCTTATATAATTCACTACCCCAGTCCTTCAAGCTCTCTCAGTTTTCTTAAATATATTCCACTTCAAAGGATTCTTGAATCCCTGGTAAAAGGGAAGTTATTTATATTGGGTCCAGAGGCTCTTGGGGTGAAAGGCATTTATTGTGGTTGAAAACAATCCAAGAGTCTATACTCCCTTCTACTTATGTGTTAATTACTCAACCTTTTTTTTATATATTTAGGTTGTCATCACTAATATAATGCACAGAGCAATTCTATGAAATTAAGCTAATAGGAAGTCAGAAAGCTACAGACTGTCATTTCCCACCCCCCCTTATTTAAATTACTCTGCTTCCAGTTGCTTATATCTGTTTATCCTCATACCTGGGTTGTCATCTCTTCACTTCCACTCTGCTGCAAGTTGTCTGTTCCCTCCCTATATCTTGCCTAGTTCCATTCAATTTCAGCTGAAAAAAGCCTTAGCAACTTCTCCCCAAGGAAATGTGCCTTTTGTCCTTGAAGACAGGTGAATGTTCATTCTAGGTTAGCCATTTTGTCTAGGGTCTACTAGTTAAAGCAGTGGACTCCAAATTCTGGGTTTTCTTCAGGACTTGGTCACTGATTTGCTTTGACTTCAGGCAGGCTTCTTTCTCTCTGTGCCTTGGTTTCCCTGCCTCTGAAATGGAATTTTATCCTTGTGCTTCAATTTCCTGGGCAGCAGCAAGCTGTAACTAGCATTTGATTAGGGGGTGGATGGAAGCTATTAATTAAATACCATGTTTCCTTTATGATAGAAAGAATAGCTGGTTACCTGAAAGCAAGAGAAAATGTAACTTGTAGCCTTGTAAAAGGCAGTTTAGGAGATAGGTAAGCTCATGTCAAGCTTTCAATGTCTTTGCTCAGAAAGACTGTACTGTGGATGCACCACTGCATTACAAAAGGGAGCTGAAGGGGACACGCCCTGAATCACCAAGCTGTAAATATAATTATAGCTAGCACAGGTGGCAGTACAACCTGTAGCTATTAATCTGTTTTAATTTTGCCTCATTTAATTTGTTCAGGCTGAAATTTCCATGTTAAATGTCTGCTCCAGGATTAACCTTTCAAATTTAGCTACTTCCAAGAACAAAGTTGCAAGGAAAAGTTGTGCTCTCATCAAGCAGTCTCACAGCTGTGTGATGGAAAAGCCCTAGCAAACAAGGATGCAGAGTTTCGCAGGGAGTAGCACTGGTGTCAGAGATGCGCTCGTGTCATCTGGGTAGAAAACCTGTCTCAAACTGGTCTAATTATAAGCCTCTAAAATAGAAAATGTGTGTGCTCAGAGCTCTAAGGGTTTAACAGCTAAATTATCAATATAGTGCATCTGTACTGGGCACACTCCAATCTCTCTCAGTTCCTACATGTGACTGCACTGTGTACATGCCATCCCAGCAGGATGACCAAACATACCCCAACCTACACCTTCAAGGGATTAAGGACTTTGTCACTGCTTAAACAATTGCAGGGAAAGTACCTGAACTGAAAGCAGAGACATTCTCCTGCTGATATCTCTGAAGGAGGAAGAAGTTATTCTACTAGGAGTGAAGAACAGTAGAGTTGAGGAGTATGGTGTGACACCTCTACATCACCCTTTTCTGCAGCATCTGGAACTGAAACCATTATTCCTGAGTCCCTCTCTTCCTTTGCTGCCTAACAAATATAGGAGAAACCCATTGGTAAAATGTATCTTCACCACCCTCTAGTGGCAGATCCATGCATGAAGGGAAAATGTTCTTTTCTGTCACTTACCCTGACAGTTCAACAGGCAGAGGTTCTTTGCTAACGCCCTGTAGATACCAGCTCTGATGATGATTTTCTAGATGGGAGGGCAACATGCTTTTTTAAGTTTATAAAATGTAGAAATTGAAAATATAATGGAGAAAATATAAGGCTGCAGAATCAAGGGTTTAGAGTTAGCAAATGCCAGAATGGCAGTTACCTGTGTGACCCTAATTTCATCCCCCTTGTAACCATGTAAAACACAGTGTGGTCCTTAATGACATGACCACATGCTTTTTTTCTGCAGGACTTGTTCAGTAGGAGTTGCAGGTGCTTGCTACCTCTACAAATTAGAGCACTCACATCTAAGCTACAGCTACCTGCTAATGCAGGTATGACCAGAGTCTATTCATAGGACCAGTGCTGTTCCCTCATGTTTTCATGAGGAAGTTTACTAGTATAACTATACAGCTAAAATTCCCAATTGGTACTTAATGTGTACTATGTGCCCACAAGGAATTATGCTAGTATAGCTAAAATTGGCATAATTATTCAATTAAGTTCCCCTGTGCTGGGGAAATCACTAAACAGAGTGGATTCTATCCCTGCTTTGGACTGGAAGTATTAATAGTGAAGGATCCTCAAACAGAAGTGAAGTCCCTGCATCTCTGCATATGCTTCTAATTAAGCAACTGAGTTTTTTTTCTTAGCTCTGAGCAGCTAATTTCTGCTAAAACCACAGTAGTTTTATTGAGTGGGGGTAGGGGGAGGAAAGCGTGT